TAGTGTTCGATTCCTTAAGTTAAACTAAACAAAATTTATAAGGGGTAATGAAATAACCACTTCCATTACATCATTCTTCTTATTTACCAAACACACACTAAAGGCATGTTTTGTTGCATGTAGTGAAATGATGAACAAATGGAGTCGTCATGGTAATCGAATATTAGTTTCGAGGATATGTTTTTTTTTCCATCACGATTTCTGATGATAAGAAAGCAAAGAAGTAGAAACGGATTATTTTGCATTACATGTTTGACTTTTTTTGGTAAGACTTATGGTAAGGGAAATGATTTGTACACAACATTTTATCTTCATACACAACAATTTATGATTTATAAAGTTGTACAATAAACATTTTAAAGCAAAAGTTGTTGTGTATGAAAAATTGTTATGTATGTATTAACTCTCTTCTGATTAATTGAGTTTTTAACTAAAACGTAATAGTTAAAAAAATCTATTTACCAAAATATAACACTTTTAAAATTATTTACACAATAAGTATATATATTTTTTAAAAGGTTAAATGAAAACAATAAGGAAACCTCTAGTGACCTTACTTTTTCTTCAAAACCACCGGTTGTTGCACCACTTGTAAACACCCCGTTCACAACAAACACCACTAGTAAACTCAATTGTGCTCGATCCTTGTGTAGTGGATGACAAACAACATTAGATTGAAGGCATCGTTGAACTCCTCCCTAAGGAATACACACAGACACATGGAAGCACTACCAACTACGCCTAAAGATAGAAATGACTAAGTCCATCTTTGCTCTTTGTTTTTACGTCTTTTCATGTTGTGAAGGATCTCTGAAAATAAAACATAATTCACTGGTACAACAACCAAAAATAAATAGCTCTTACGCCTCTACCTTACACAAAGCGGAAAAATACTCTCCTCCAGCACATCACTATGACCAACTCGAGGACTAGTGTTTAGTAAATCATTATTGATGAACTTGTGTGCACTTCCAACGTTACCTCTGCGAATATTGACACCGTTGACAACCGGTATTTGGATTGTATTCAGCTTCCGACGACCACCCAAACAAAAATCTTTGTCAATGTTTTTATGTTATTTTGGTTGTTGTTTTCGTTTTCCAATGAGCAACCCAACGAAATGGTGAATCTTTGTCAATGTTACTAAACTGGTGTTGCCGTGTTGGTTGGTTTCATTGTCAGGCAAGCAAGTTTTGGTTTCAAACCACAAATTAGTTATTATTATTATTATTATTATTATTATTGTAACAAAGATGAAGCCCTCGTGTAACTATGTTTTTGTAAATATTTTTAGAAGTACCATATTGTGTGGTAAATATTTTTTAAAACTACCATACTCAAGAACAAAACTCCGGGCAAATTAGCATTGTATGTTTGATTTTTTTTTTAAAGATTGTAAATATTTTCGTTGATTATTTAAGAAGTCTTCTTGTATATATTCTCATTGTAGTTCAATATTTTCATTCTGTTAAGTTTTAAGTTTTGAGAAAATGCTAATATGGCAATGTTCGGGATTGCAGAAGTAAAAAATGAAAAATGAGTTTATGTTTGACCTTTATGACCAACATTGTAAGGAAGCATTGAAAATTTTGAAGATACAGTTCGATTTTAACATCAGACAACTTACTTCAAATGTTACACCCGAACCAGAGGTCTATCTTCAATATCATTCAATCAGTCGTCATTACAACAAGATTTTCCACTTCTAACGCATAAAGCCTAGGAAACCGATATCATAAGCCTTCTTAACTATGCAATGGATGAGCAAACAAGAACAAATAATTTTGTTCAACCGATTTGATATCCATTTGTTTAAGGATTCTGATGATGTATCATATTTTTTGTATTTATCATTCTGAATTTTTAAATAGATGGTTTCATGTATACTGTTTTTTGCAATTGACTCTTTTTATTGATGATTTTCCCATAGACGGTTTCTTAAGTTTTTGATACATAAGATTTTGTATGTTTTTTTTGCATGTATACTGTTTTTTGCAATCGACTCTTTTGAATTTGCAATTTAGTTTATTTATAAATTATAGAATTATAGATGATTATTATAAAAAATAATTGAGAAAAAAACTCTTTTAAATTTAAAAAAATTAGTTTATTTAAATTTTAATTTATTTTAACAATCTAAGAGATTTTAAAATACGAACAATTTATTTACAAATGGCAAACCTTTTACTTAAAAAAAAAAAACAAACCATACCTTATAATTGATTTTTTAAAAATAAATTATGATATATTGTATTGTGAACACTAACAATATTGCCCCTCATTTAACATAGACTACAGACTCCATCTCCTCTCCTCTTCCATCTGCTTCCATCGATTCTCTCATCGATCCCAGCCATTGCGACCAAGCTTCATGGAGGGTCGATGATCAAGCTTCATCACCTCTCTCTATCTTCCGTCTCTTCGCTTCTCTCACTTGTCAATGCTTCACGTATTCAGGTAGTATTATGCTAGAATTTGTTGTTGATTATGAGTCTGCTAGAATTCGTTGCATATCTTGGTGATTATTCTGCTAGAATTCGTTGCCTATCTTGTTGTTCTTGATTTTTATTTTCTGGTGCTCATGATTGGAAGATTTTTTCCAAGTAAACAACCGATTTTCTGATCACAGCACACCAACTGTTTGATTAAAGTCCTCAAAGAACTCAACAACCAATTTTTTGTGTTAGGTTATTGTTAAACCATCATTTAAGATCTGTGATGATGCAGGTAAAACAAAAGAATTAAGAACATGTTCTAATTGATGGTTGAGTGGATTGAATATCTAAAACATTTTCTGAATTTGATGAGTTCAACACATATACAAGAACTAAACAATTGTGAGGTTTAGCAAATATATTTCATATCATCCACAGAGTTGTCCAATTGTAAAATTTCTTATCTTGGTAAATGGCAATTTGATGTTATTTATGTAGCTGATGAAGATACATTGCTTCAGTCACAGGATGTTTAATACTTCAACCCCCTTTTCACCCATAAAACTTCCATCTCAGATGTATGATTCAAATTTTCTTTTCTTTTCTTCTTTTCTGTAGTCTCTTGTTATCTGATAATAATTTACTAACACATAAAGTTTGATCTTTAGGGAAACCCATCTTTGGTATGCATTACCAAATGAAGTGAAAAGTCAATCTTTACTAAATCAGTATGTTGACCTTCTATCACCACTTGAGAAAGACCACATTTTCAGCATTAGTGCCCTTCAACTTCAAAAAAGTGCTTTGATAGCCCGTGCACTTGTTCGTACTACTATATCTAGATGTAATAATCCCTTCATGCTTGTGTTTATAAATTTTTTTTTTTTTACTAATATATCATATAATTTGTAAAACTTACACAATATATCTTCATGACTAGATCAGATAGGCTCTCAAGTCAACCCAAGGTCTCTTGAGTTCAGAAAGAACCCCCATGGGAAACCCGAGGTTAGATTCGTCTTTTCTTTATCAATCAAGATACCATTTAGTCATTTACTAAGGTGTTGTTTCCTTTTTACTTAATGGGCGTTTAGGTAATTTGGCAAAATAGTGAAGATTGGCATCCACCACCTCTACATTTTAATCTCTCCCACACATCATCACTAATAGCATGTGGAGTGACCATTGACTCCCCAGTTTGTTTCCTTATCTTCTCATTATTTTCATTAAAAGTATCTTTTTGAAAAAATATTTGGTAAAACAGTTACTAATGAGCTTATTTTACATTATTTTATTAAATAAATACAGATTGGTATTGATGTAGAGGATAAGCAAAGGACAATGAAAAACAATATATTATCATTTGCTAAACGATATTTCACTTTTGAAGAAGTGGAATTATTAAGTGCAATTTCAGACCCTGAAGTTCAACGCCATGAGTTTATTAAACTTTGGACACTAAAGGTTAGAAGATACATTAAAGGACTTATTGCAAGAAATAGCAACATATTTTTCATTTATTTGTCCAAAATTCCTGATTCTAATTTCTAAGTAATAAATTAATTTCAGGAAGCGTATGTTAAAGCATTGGGAAGAGGGTTCTCAGGTGCTCCTTTTAGCACATTTACAATTAGGTTTAGGTCTGTGAATCCTGATTCTGAGGTTATATATATTTCTTTTTATTAATTACTTCTAAATGTAATTAGCTAAAAAAAAAAGAAATGATTTGAGTATCTACTTAATTACTTGTTTGTTTCTGTTAGGATTCTGAGATAGTGATTGTGCCTTTAGAGAAGCCAAGTGAGCTTACAAGTAATTGGCAATTTGCACAACTGGAATTGGCTGGTTCTCACTATGCAGCCATTTGTAGGGAGAGCAATGGAGGTGAGTAGTTGTATTTTAGAAGTTATATCTATTATATTGTTGGAGGGTATTTTAGTAAATATAATAACTAGTAACTAAACTTGTTGAGGTTGGATTTGATGTAGGGGCTCCAATGAAAGTGGTTGTGCGGAAGACGATTCCTCTTGTTGAAGAACACATTGTTTCAGAGATTGATTGACTTGATTATATTATTATTTATTATTATTACAAAGTGGTCTAAAATTATAAAAATCTTGTAAATCAATGATTTGTTTCAACCTGTTAACAATGTAAGGTGAAAGGAGTTTGATACTGAAAACTTGTCCAAAAATGTAAATGCATTCGTTCGTTACATATAGTTTTCAATTCTGAATATATATATGTATCTTGCAAAAAATATTTTTAAATAAGGGTATATACATCCGTATTTGCTAATTCAGAAACCAAAGGTTCTATGTCTGCGGATGAAATTGTATAAAAAATAATTTTATGTCTATTAATTTGGATTTAATTATATCATTTTCAATCTAAATCAAACCGAAAAAAATCAATTAATTAAGTTTTAATTTCATTTCAATTAATATTATTCCGGTTCGGTATCTTCAAATAGAAGTTTATGTGACCCGTTGATCCGAATACACATAGTATGGCGATTGGTGGAGCTTATCAAGGAAAACGGATAGAAGCGCTGGATTACACCTCACTATCTAGAATCTATGTCTTCGTTGTGGATAATAAAAACCAGACTCAAAATATCCATACCCATCTCTCTCCAAAAACTCAAATTCTAGAGAGAGAGAACTCACCTCTGTCTTCCCATGGAAGCCTTAACTTTCTCCACAGTTGCTTCCCGCCATTTCTCCACAGCTTTCCCGAGAAAGACGCACCACAACCACTCGGCTACATCTTGGACCGGTTCAACTTCGCCACACGCGCTCTCATTCCGCTTCAGTAATTCATCGTCCACGGTTAGGAGTCAATTCAGTGTTCCAACAATAATTTGAGGTTATATATTGATTTTGCTTTTTGTTGCAATGTTTGTTGTTTTTGGGTGGGGGAAGAGGGAGCTATGGGGAATTGTGAATTCGCAGAGAGTAATTCCGGTCAAGAGAGAGAGGCGTGGGGTAATCAGAGCAGAGATGTTTGGTCAGCTAACCAGTGGCCTTGAATCCGCCTGGAACAAGCTTAAGGGCGAAGGTTTTAGTTCCACCTTTAGATTTCCATTACATTTTGTGTTATGAAATGCACAAATCACCACTGATAATGCTAATTTCTGTGCTTCAGAGGTCTTAACGAAGGAGAATATCGTGGAACCAATGAGGGACATTAGACGAGCTCTTCTGGAAGCAGATGTATGTGCTTCATCTGTATATGAATATGATTCATAAAAACAACAGTTCGTCTTTACTCTTTAGAGCTTAATTTCTAATTTGGTTGGATTACTCATTACAGGTTAGCCTTCCCGTTGTAAGAAGATTTGTTCAAACCGTAAGTGAACAAGCTGTTGGTGTTGGTGTGATTAGAGGAGTCAAACCAGATCAGCAATTGGTTAAAGTATGTGTTTAATGTTTTTGTTTTCTTCCATACTGAAGTATAAATTATAACATCATCTTCTCCAAAGTTCATAAACATATTGCTGGATTCTGTTTAACACAGATTGTAAGTGATGAACTCGTGAAGCTAATGGGAGGAGAAGTTTCTGAGTTAACTTTTGCAAAATCTGGCCCCACTGTTATCTTACTGGCTGGTCTACAAGGTGTTGGGAAGACAACTGTTAGTGCAAAATTAGCTTTGTACCTCAAGAAACAGGTGCACTTCAACTTCAACTTTAACTCCCTACATCTTTATTTTCAGCATCTGAAAACTTGTGTGTAGTTTCTTACCCTTTTTGGCCTTTGCAATTGTAATGTAAACAAAAATTGTAGGGGAAGAGTTGCATGCTGATTGCTGGAGATGTATATAGACCAGCTGCAATTGATCAACTTGTTATTTTGGGTAAACAGGTATGAAGTTGACACTTATACAAGTTTGATATGATTTCTCAATGAGTTTTTAGGGTCACTTAAAGCTCATTCTGATAGATATAAGTTTGTGACAGGTGGATGTTCCTGTGTATGCAGTAGGGACTGATGTAAAACCAGCAGAAATAGCTAGACAAGGTCTTCAAGAGGCTAAAAAGAAGAATGTAGATGTGGTTATAATGGATACAGCAGGAAGACTTCAGGTTATAATTATATGACTTGTCTTTTTAATCATTTCAGATATTAGAGAAGACAATTTTCTTCATTCATCTAACGACAACACCCTTTACCTTTTTATTACCAGATAGACAAAAATATGATGGATGAATTGAAAGATGTGAAGAAAACATTGAATCCTACAGAAGTTTTGCTTGTTGTGGATGCAATGACAGGGCAAGAAGCTGCAGGTGTTTTGATTTTTGAAATCACTTATTATTATTATTTCATATAAACATGTGACAATTTACCATACTACCCTTGGTGATAATTTTCAGCCTTGGTGACAACTTTCAACCTTGAAATTGGAATTACTGGAGCTATTCTAACTAAGCTAGATGGGGATTCAAGAGGTGGAGCAGCTCTAAGTGTTAAAGAGGTTGCTCTTTCTTTAACATTTGTTTTTCTCAATTGATGTTTATTTGATATAAGAAAGATTTTGTTTAATTTTGTGATGTTAGGTGTCAGGAAAGCCAATTAAGCTTGTGGGACGTGGAGAGAGGATGGAGGATCTTGAACCCTTTTATCCTGATCGTATGGCAGGAAGGATCTTGGGCATGGGAGATGTTCTCTCATTTGTGGAGAAAGCACAAGAAGTTGTGAGTGTTATATTAAATTAGATTTTTTTTGTTTGTAAAAATGATGGGGGGTTGAAATATAAGTGTTACTCTAAATCTAATTATGGGTGTAGATGAAACAAGAAGATGCTGAAGATTTACAGAAGAAGATCATGAGTGCAAAGTTTGACTTCAATGACTTTTTGAAGCAAACTCGTGCTGTTGCAAGGATGGGTTCCATGTCTCGTGTTCTTGGAATGATTCCTGGAATGGGAAAGGTTCATTAAGTCAAAAAGAAAATAAAAAGTTGTGAATTTTTTTTTTTTTTTTTTTTTTTTCGTAGCGAAGAATTTCATAATCATGTTGTGTTTGATTTGTTGGACAGGTTACTCCTGCCCAAATTCGAGAAGCAGAAAAGAGCTTACAAATAATGGAAGCCATGATTGAAGTGATGACACCAGGTTTTGTTTCTTTTCCTATCTGAATAATATATATATATATATATTTTTTAGGTGAAAATTGGAAACCAAAATCCCTGGGGTTTTTATTTTTATTTTTTCAGAGGAAAGGGAGCAGCCTGAACTACTTGCAGAATCCCCTGCCAGAAGAAAGAGAATTGCTCAAGAATCTGGAAAGACCGAGCAGCAGGTATATATATAATATAATATTTTGTTTTTATGTCTTTTTTTTATTTAAATTTAAAAATAAATTGAAAAAGAAAGGTGAAGGATATGTTGTTTTTTTCCTAGGTGAGCCAACTTGTTGCTCAGCTATTTCAAATGCGTGTTCGGATGAAGAATTTGATGGGTGCAATGGAAGGTGGATCCGTTCCTGCACTAAGCAACCTTGAAGAGGCGATCAAATCCGAACAAAAGGTGGCTTTTTTTTTTTTTTTTTGAATTTTACTGGACTGGGACTGAGACTGATGTCAATAAGACAAAACCTGCAATTGTGTCCCACCTAGAAAGATGGGACACAGACTCACCCACTCTTTTATTTGTGCAAAAGACTGGGACTGAGACTGAAACTGGAACTGATGATTTTGTTTCAGGCTCCTCCAGGGACTGCGAGGAGGAAGAGAAAATCAGAGTCGAGGAAACAATTTGCGGGGTCAGCAGGACGGCCAAATCCTCGTGGTTTTGGTGGTGGCAACTGAAGAAAATAATAATCTTTTTATTCGGATTAGTAGATAGAATGAATATTAGATGATTTAGCCTTGAAAAGATAAAGGTGTAAAGTAGTTTTCGTGCAAAATTACATAAAAACCAATTGAAACAGCTTTTTGAGAACCAAGATATTGTTTATTTAAATCATGATATGGAACTGGGGCATGTTTTATAATTGGGTTGTGTCAAAACTCAAGAAGAGAAGGCACATTCGACATTCGACAATCTTGTCCCTATTGGTTGAAGGCTAAGTTTGTTTATTTCAGATGCTTATTGCGGTTTGATGCGCCAATAAATATTTTTAAGTGTTTCAAAGGAAGGGAATAATAACTCTTTATTGAAATAAACAGTAAATTTTTTAATTATAAATGCTATCCTAAGGCTTAACAGTGTGGTTGCAAAAATACCAACCTTAGATGGCAGCTTTTACAAGCAGTAATACCACCCCTCAACCAAATTTATTGCTGGCGGTAATTTCTATTGGTGAACTGTCACCAATTTCCCTCTTTCATTCTTAGCGATGTAAACAATTTGTATGCATTAGGTAGCTAAATCAATGTGTTGCACTTTCATGCATTAGGTAGTTACATCAATGTGTTGCACTTTCATGCATTAGGAAAATACGAAAGAGTGGTAGTTCTTAATAGCCAATAAGAAATAGACAAGTAAACATAATAGTTTCATTTAGCATCTTTCTTTTTATTTGTATAGACAAAAGTTTTACCATTGGTAAAAAAAGCACAACATCCCACACATAGGTAAGTTATGGTAAAAATGGTAAAAGCTTATGTGGCGTCTATGTAGCATATTTCTACCATTGGTAAAACATTAACACACCGTTTAGCTTAAAATCATCTTTTATTTGTCGCAACCTTTTTTTTTTTTTTTTCTTCGTCGTTGTTGCAAATATAATCTCCAAGTGGCTAAAAATATTGTGCATAATTCTCTTATTATAATGTAGCTTATCAATTATTAATTTATTATATAAACATCCAACACATATCCCAAAGGTTCATTACCATGGTATTATAGAATAAGTGCATAACAAATACTTCACTAATTCAACAATTTAATAAACGGGCACTGACACATTAGCCCTACGAATTTTGCACATTTGCTCGTTCAGTCCCTTAAATAATTTCCGTGTTTTTATAGGAACTAGATGTTCATCTATTTTTTTAGTCACCTGATATAACAGGTTTTATTTATAAGCCACATCACCAAACAATTGAACAACATCCTTATCCTTTTTGTTCGCTTGTTTCTGAATTTTAGTTAAACCTCTCTCTCTCTCTCTAAAAAAAAAAAAAAAACTCACATATCTTCTTCCATTGAAGCTCAGATACTATGGTTGCTCCACTACCTCGATCTTTGTAAGTTTTTGAGGAATGTCTTCAAGATTTTGGGATTGATCTAATCTCCATTGAAGTCATAAACCGGTCTAGATCTTCAACCACGACGATTGAGTTGCTTGAATATCAGAATCGTCTAGTACTTTTCAGAGGTCGACATCGTAAACATCATAAGACATGAATTTGACCATAACGGTGATGCAACTGCCAGTACCAACCAGATGGTCCGTAGAAGAGATAACCCCGCTTCCAATCACGTCCTAATCGGTGATAAGATTGTTTCGATTTGAGAAAATCCTCAAAATCAGATTTTACCTTCTTTTTCAGGTCCGAACGGACCTCCACCGTGATAGTGTCTCCGAGTTCATGTAAAGCTTCAGTTCCTTACATCTCGACTAATTACCTTCCGAAGCTCTGTAAAGATGTTGAATATAAGATTGAAAAATTCTTTGCTTATCTTTCTTCTTCAACTTGAGCATAAAGGTTTTTTTGTGAAGGTTTTGTCCTTTAATTTTGTTGAATTTGTTTTTTCAGGAAACCTTAGCACCGAGAAAGGTGTGTTGAATGGCCTGATCGACCATCAAGGTAGAGGAGGATGCCGTTTGGTTTCTTCCCTAAGACGAGGTTTGTGAAGTCGGAATCTTCAAAGTGGTTTGTTAAAGGAAATCTTAATTTTGACTTTTAAGTTTGACTATTTGGTTAATTGTAGTTGGTTTAACTGTTATGAATAAAAAATATAAAATAAAGTTGATGTGGCTTATAAAACCTGTTTTATATCGGGTTGCAGTGACCAAAAAAAGCAGGTAGACTATTTGGTTAACATTGTAGTGAGTTTAACTGTTATGAATAAAAAAACATAAAATAAAGTTGATGTGACTTATAAAACCTGTTTTATATCAAGTTGCAGTGACCAAAAAAGTAAATAGACATCTACTTTATGCCCCTATAAAGCACATAGATTATTTATAAAGCACATAGATTATTTAAGAGACTGAATACACAAATATATAAAATATGGTAAGGCTAATGTGTTATTTCCCCCTTTAATAAATAATAAAACCAAATATTTTGTTTTGTTTTAGTTTGAGTTTTTATGTTAGTAATTTCTCAAATATTATTATAATAGATAAAAACATTAACTGTAATATGTTAAAAAACAAATAAATCAATAACATGTAAGCATGTCTGTTTTTGTTATTACACATATATAAACAAAGGTTTACGAACACTAACAATAATTCATCAAGTTTGGCATTGTATAAATTCATCTATTTTTTCTTACAAACTTCAGTTTGATACGGAGGTCCGGGGGCAGCGCCCTTAGGTGCAAGGTTCTAAGGTTGCAGCCCTTTGGCGAGGTCTAGGGGCAGCACCCGTAGCGGGTCCAAGGGGTCTGACATCACTGTGATGTCAGAATCAGTTATGTCAAAACCCTAGGTTTTTTTTTTTCAGAGGAAAAGAAGCAGCCTAAACTACTTGCAGAATCCCCTGCCAGAAGAAAGAGAATTGCTCAAGAATCTGGAAAGACCGAGCAACAGGTATATATATATATATATATATATATATATATATATATATATATATATATATATATATATATATATATATATAAAATTTTAGTTTTGTGTCTTTTTTTTTTCCATTGGTTATTTAAATTAAAAAAAATAAATTGAAAAAGAAAGGTGAAGGATATATTGGTTTTTTCGTAGGTGAGCCAACTTGTGGCTCAACTATTTCAAATGCGTGTTCGGATGAAGAATTTGATGGGTGGAATTGTAGGCGGATCTAAGCAACCTTGAAGAGGCAATCAAATCCGAACAAAAGGTGTTTTTTTTTTCTTTTTATTGGACTGAGACTGAGACTGATGTCAATAAGACAAAATCTGCAATTGTGTCCCACCTAGAAAGATGGGACACAGACTCACCCACTCTTATATTTGTGCAAAAGACTGAAACTAGGACTGAGACCGATGATTTTGTTTCACGCTCCTCCAGGGACTACGAGGAGGAAGAGAAAATCAGAGTCGAGGAAACAATTTGTAGGGTCAGCAGGACGGCCAAATCCCCACGGTTTTGGTGGTGGCAACCGAAGAAAATAATAATCTTTTCGGATTAGTAGATAGAATAATATTAGATGATTTAGCCTTCAAAAGAGAAAGGTGTAAAGCAGCTTACGGCTTTCGTGCAAAATTACATAAAAACTAATCGAAACAGCTTTTGAGAACCAATAATTTTTTTTATTCAAATGATGATATAGAACTGGGGATTGGCTTGGTTTGGAGCATGTTTTATAATTGGGCTGTGTCAAGACTCAAGAAGAGAAGGCACGTTCGACAATCTTCGACAATCTTCTTGTCCCTATTGGATGAATTTCTATATGAAGGAAATTATAACTGTTTATTTTATTAAACAGTTTTTGATAAGTTGGTTAACCTAACTTATTTTAAATTTTTAATCAAAAATGCTATCCTTAAATCATCTTTCATTTGTCGCAGACTCTTTTTTTTTTCCTTCATCGTTGGCGCAAATATAATCTCCAAGTGGCTAAAATTAGTGTTGGATATCATCAACTTTTAAGGGGTTGACTAAATGGACACCTCATTTTACCATTTAGACACCCTATATAATTTTTAAGGTATTTTTATTGGTTAAAATTACATTGATTTTTGAAAAAGATAATTAAAAGTAGTTACCTATTGGTTGACTTTTGATAAAGATGTCTATAGAGTGTCTAACGGGTGTCTTAATAGCAACACCCATCTATATATATATATATATATATATATATATATATATATATATATATATATATATATATATATATCCAACACGTATCCCAAAGGAATTGCCAAATTCCAATTTCTGAACTCCATCATTACCATCGTATTAGGCTGGAGGGAGAGGTGTCACACTCTCTCATTTTGCCACACTTCAATACCACAGATAAGGAATGGTATACCATGGAGAGAGAGAGAGAGAGAGAGAGAGAGCACTCTCTCATTTTGACGCACAACCCAAACCGCATAGGAGGAAGCGGTGTTCATTGCGGTAAAACATGTCACATAAGCTCTTAGTGCACCCACCCCCTTTAGTCTTATAGAATAAGTGAATAACAAATACATTGATTCAATAATTTAATAAATAATAAAACCAAATATTTTGTTTTCTATTAGTTTGCGTGTTTGTGTTACTAATACTAGGTCAGAGACCCATGTATGTTGTCAACTGAAAATCAAACTATATTGGAATTTGTAAAATCTAAGGCTAAACCGATTAACTTTGAAAACTGCTTTAAAGAAAAATGATTTGCCATTTCTCAAAAAGATTTAAATCAACATGTAAACTTAATTGAAATTTGTAAAATCTAAGGCTAAACCGATTAACTTTGAAAACTGCTTTAAAGAAAAATGATTTGCCGTTTCTCAAAAAGATTTAAATCAACATGTAAACTTAATTGAAAACGGAAAAGAAATTAAAAGTATTAACATATATTAATGTCAGTTAAGATCATGGCTAAAATCATGGGGTGCATCTTTAATCTTTGATCTATTAAAACGTATTTTAAAAAGTTTAAAAATGAATTAATAAAGTAAACAAACAAAGTAATTAAAAAAAAATGTATGAAGTTGTCTCGAGTCATCTTAAAAATAAAACTGAAAAATTAAATATATGCTTTAGAAAGTTGACATGTGGCACCTAGAGATTTTTATTTATTAGGAAGTATAGATAATTTTTTTTTACAAATATTATTATAATTGATAAAAACATAAACTATAATATGTTAAAAAACAAATAAGTAAATAACTCTTAATTTTATATTACAATTTATGGTTTTACATTGATTATATCTTTATAAAAATGGATGTTTATTTTATTTTAAAAAATGCAAAACTTATTGTAAAATTTGGAACGTTGCAATAGTGATGGTGGATTTGAGGGTGTTGTATTCATCCCGAAGACTAGAAACAACAAGCTTTACAATGTCTTTTTCCTCGACCTATCCTTAACGAAACAAACATTGTTTTAGCAGCAATTTTTACGAACACTAATAATTTATCAAGTTTTGCATTGTCTAAATTAATCCAATTTTTTTTTCAAACTTTAGTTTGATACCGAATAAGTTAATAAACACTTTAGCAAAAAGTACAAACAATTTTAAATAAGCAATCCTAAACATCTTGTCGTTGTTGATGAAGAATTGGCAACAAGTTTGTGGCTAAAACTTGAGTCTCTATATAAGGTGAAATCTTTGACACAAAATTGCTGCTAAAACAATGTTTGTTTCATTAAGGATAGGTCGAGGAAAAAGACCTTGTAAAGCTTGCTTTTTCTAGTCTTCGAGATGAATACAACACCCTCAAATCCACCATCACTATTTTAACATCCCAAAATTCACAATAAGTTTTTCATTTTTAAAATAAAATAAACATCCATTTTTATAAAGATATAATCAATGTAAAAACATTTGTTCACAAATTGTAATATAAAACCAGAGTTATAAGGAAAAGCAACGCGGAATCTTGAATTATAAAACTCTTGATAATTGTGTACAGTCCCGCCTTCGCGATCCGATAAGTACCTGAAAACATTTAATCCACATGTAATGTTCATATTCTGGTATGTCTCTTTTTAAACCCTAAAGTGCAAATTCTTTTCATTTTTAGTCCTTAAGCTAGTATGCGGGGCGTACAGGGTGGTACGCTTAGCGTACTAGCCCGAAGTTGGTCGCAGAGCTCATCCACGTACGTTGGGCATATGTCGAGTATGCATAGCGTATGTGTGGTTAATGAAACCCTAATTTCTAGGGTATTGCACCCTATTTAAGCCTGATGATAGCCTCATTTGTTCATGTTTAGACAACCTCCACCTCCCCTTCTCCAGAAATCGAAACCCTAGTGTGTTCTTGAGAGTTTTGAGCCATAAAGAGTATTTGTTGGTGCTTTGTGAAAGAGAAGAAGTGAACCACTTGGAGTTGTGCTGGGAGCTTGAGGATCCGTGATTAGCTCATCATTTTCTAGCCTTTTGAGGTATAAAGTTCATAACTTGTCAACTCCTTGTATAAATCTTCTTTTGGGCTTGTTTATGGCCATTTTGGACCCTTTTGGTTGGTCCTTGTGAGCTAAGGTCGTTTCAGAAGCTGGACCCTTTAGATTTGGACATTTTAGGGGCCCCTTATACATAAAATTGCAAGCTTTGAGGTGTTTATGGACTCATGCATGTGTTAAGACTCTTTGTTAACCTCTAAGATCATGGGCTTGGGCTGCAGTAGTTCTCACGTCGTGAGACCTTATGTCTCATGTGATGAGATTGGTCCGAAAACACATTTATCATGTTTACCTTTATCACGTCGTGACCACCCAATGGTCACATCGTGACACTTGATTTTCTCCAAAAATTGACCTTTTAACTCCATGAAACCCTAAATCGATTCATCCTGGAAAACGGGTGTTACAATGATTCTTGTAAAACTTTTTGACACTATTATTTGAATAATAGGCCACAACTTCATCATCTGAGTTCATCAACAAACCTTCTTCGCCATCAGAACACACCTCTTTAACACTTGTTTTTTGAGACTAAAGACAACGGACCACCAAAATTCATTTTATCCTTCTCTTTAGCAATGTCTTTAACCTCAGACTCATGAACTTTGTGTAGTGACAAAGAACATGGTTTGGCATGCAGAATTTAAGTTTGCACAATTGAACATGGTGATTTGGGTGCTAAAAGATATATTCGATCATAGTAAATGAGTACAAAAAGGGATCTAGTCTAGAGCTTCATAAATATCTCACTCACTAATCACTATGAACTACATCTCTCAAGCACACCTCTACAAGTGGACAAACCCACCTTATATAGAGGTGTTTACATGTCTCTCTCTCACTCTAAGTAACAAATGGGTCTAATGGCTAAAGCACCACATGCAAGTGGGTTTTACAAAAGTCAAACATTTACAAAGTCATGAATGAAGAACTTTGCACCCCAACATTCTCCCCCTCAAAGTTAGGAATGAATGACCCACTTCAAATCTTCCAAAATCAAGCACTACGCGGTTCGAGCCTCAAAGGTGACACATGTCGAAACGAACTTCAATCTTCAATTCTTCCATGATTCTTCAATTTGGGCTCTAGGATGTGAGACCTTACAAACCAAGCAGCAACGAATGATCAAGGGTATTCCAATCTCCAAATAATCACCCAAAAGTTGCGCATAAAAACACACCCCAAAAATCTTCAATAAATCCAAACCCATTTCGAATATATCACTTCCGAACATCCAATTGCATCATCTCGTAGGCTTCAAAATTTCAAGATCACTTCGGTCATCAAATCCGCGTAATATGAAAAATTCAAGTTCGAATTTCCATATAAAGCTTCTCCCCCTTTTTATAATCGAAATTTGATTTTAAAACTCCAAAGGAAAAAAAACGTGCTCTATTCGAAATTTTTCGTGTCAAAACTCCCCCTTAACATGTGGCATAAACTTTGTGCTTCAATCCGGAAAACCCAAAAAATAATCAATTTTTATTGTCATTCACGGATTGCCTTTGACAAAATTTCTCAACAATGGGTAGAAATTGTCAATTTCAAAATTCTGCAGTGACCCGTAGCGCCCAAAATAGCCAAATATGCAAAATTCTCCCCATTTTCCAAATCTGGGTAGAAAGCGTTAATTTGCACAAACTGCAGGGGCCTGAAATGCACAATCTTCAATTTCCAGCAAAAATTAGTCCATTTTCGAATTTGGGTATAAACCGCCAAACATTCGAAGCCTCAGGGACTATTTTCGAAAATTCTGCCATTTATGTTCAAAACATACGAAGCATGCCCACAAAATTCGAAGCACCAAAAAATTTTCGAATTCGGATGAAAAGTGTCAAATATTCGAAACTTGCTTTAATTTGCGAAATGACAAAAATTCGAAGGTTCAGGGACCAGATTCGAAACTTGTTGCTTTCATGTGCCAATCATTCGAAGCCTTTTGCCAATCATGCTTTTTCCTTTGTCAAACATTCGAAATTATAAGGACCATATTCGAAAATTTGATTTTTCTTCTTTTCCATTCATTCGAAACTAACTCTTCGAATACAATACTGTCGAGCTTGAGAATCATTCGAATGTTCAATTCCCTTAGTATAAAACCAAACCACATATCTGCTGTAAACAAACATTGACCCTTCGACTGATTTGCTTTAATCCTTCAATCATTTAACCAAACCTTCGCTTTTCAAACTCAAAAATCCCTTCGTACGAATTTCCCAT